AGAATCCTCGTGTGTCCCAAAAGGGAAATTTGCTCCTACGAAAATCAGATCAACTAAATCAACTAGATCAAATGAAAGTGTTTTAAGATCTTGAAAAACTTTGAAACCTTAGGGTTGAGGTTGAATCGTATCGTCTGATTAGACACTATCTATATATGACTATATACACTTAACCTACGAATATTTAAATATTCGGAACCTTGTAATAGTTATTCCCCTTCAAAATTTGAACATTTTTACAACGATCAAGCAAAAAACATAGAAAATATTCATAATTAAGTTATATATATATAAATACGTTCGACTTTAGAAAAGGGAAGCATTTCATTTTCATCATACAAGATTTACTTCTGAATTATCGGAAGACAATTCTATGATCTTATGATATATCATTTTATGCCTATCCGAACTACGTAATCTCCTGCGTAAGATTCCTCCAATAAAGAAATCCCCTAAATTCAGATAAATACAACTCTTCTATTGAAATGGAATACTATTATACAAAGGGATTAGAGTACATAGATTTTTATATTTTATTTTGGCAATTCCTACTTCTCTCATTCCGTTACAAAAGATTCCATTTAAGCCATGAAAAAACACATTTGGTAGAAAAATAAAAACATCGATTCATTCAAAATCCACGCAACCAGCAATGTTTGCGTGGCCAAGATTCATAATTTGGATTTACGCATAAATTTCGATGAGTAACAAATTGAATTGTAAATATTTTGGGCAGGCATCGAAGAATTGATGGAATTTGAAATAAAGACGAAGGAATCTCAAACTGAAAGCAGCCCGTCGATTTGTGTCCCAGATCTAATTGGGGGTATAAACGTTTCAGATACCAGACACAAGAGCAGCCCTCGTCCAGTGTGCTTTTTTAAGGCCAAAGGTAACACATTAGCATTAACAATTGCTTGGCCGGGCCACCCTCGTCTCGTGGTTACAGCTCGCAGTTCGCAGTTTGGGCGAAGCTAGTGAAGGGGTATTTTTTAATGAGAGCTCTGGCTGAGTCGGTATGCCCAACACTTGACAAGTGCAGCAGGAAAATTGCAGGCAAACATAAGCCCAAGTATCGTGTATGTGTACACAATTATCTGCCACATTGTTGCCCAATGGATTAGCCTTACATTCGCTGCGAGTTGGGAGAAGGGGGAGTGGGTTGGAAAGGGGTTCCCTTCGCGTGGCCTGGCCGATTGCGTGGAATGAAAGTGAATTTTGACAGATGGTAATTTTTTCAATTTTTTGTCTTTTGATCTGACAATTTGTGTTGAAATTTAAAAGTGTTTTCTCTTGTTGTTCCGCCTCAGCACGCTTTATTTGACAAATAGCCAATTTTCAAAATTGATACAAAACGAGTACAAGCCAAATTAAGGGATTTCACAAAATTCAAAAGCATTTGAATACGCGGCCTGTCACAATATTTGGCACTGATCCGAAAGATTACACTAAGTCCAACTGAGCCTGGCAACTGAACAACGGGATTGATAAGTGCAAAGCTCTTGTAAGTGCAAAGCTCTTGTAATGGTTGTTAAATAGATCCCATTATTATATAGAATTGAATTCCAAACTAGTCGAAGGATCTAGTAATAGTTAATAAATATATACCATAATTTTATAGCAAATATTTGAAAGAGTTCGACTAATCGGGTTTGAATTCCAGATAAGTGCAAAGCTCTAGTAATAATTGATAAATAGATCCCATTATTATTTAGAATTGATTTCCAGACAAGTGTAAGGTTCTAGAAATAGTTAACAAATAAATTCCATAATTTTATTGTACATATTTGAAATAGTTCGACTATTCGGCTTTAAATTCCAGACAAGTGTCAGGCTCTATTAATAGTTGATAAATAGTTTCCATAATTATATAGAAAATATATATCTAAATATACCCCTGCTCTCTCGTGAATCGTGTGCCTTTCACGCCTGTTTTTCCGACTGTTTTAATACCCTGTTTTGCATATTAACCATAAGGTGCATTAAATAAACATATCCATTGGCAGACCGAATGGCAATCATATTGATAACTCCCTTAGCGCAAATTATGGGTTACCACATGTTGGTACGATTTTCGGGTTGAAATCAAGCGACCACGAGGGGCGATTCGTTTTTTACGCCCGGTCCGGGGGGTGTGCCACCACAACGACGACGATGACGTCGACGAGGGGGTGGGGGGAGGGGGGGAGAGATTCGCGTAACAAGAAATTGTCACGTAGAACTCACTTAGTGACACGGATAGTCGAGGCTTTTTAGCACGGACACCACCCGCTTCTTCTTCTTCTTCTTCTCCTCCTTCTTCTACTCAGTCAAATTGTAATTACAATTTGATGTTGCAACCACTCGGTAAAAAAGCGGGTATATGTCTGTATATGTACGTCTTGCCCAATTCCGGGCTGGGGTGTTCGCTGGTTAAGCGAGCGTGTAATTTACAATTTGCTCTGGTTGCCCACGCTCACGGCCCGACAAATGTTTTAATTATGGTTTACTTAACATTTGCAATTTAAGTGAAATGCCAAAGAAAGCTCCTAATTGTCTTTATGTCCAATTTAGCCGGCGGGCCCAACTGCGACAATCGGACCAAAACAACTTATTATTCCGCTTCTAAATTTGAATCAATAACCAACAAGTTTTTATATATATTTAAAAAAAAAACGCCCCTCTCAATGGTAAATGCATTGACAAGTACTTAATTCTTGCAGTCGGGTGCACCTGACTGCGCAATACTCTGTTCAGTAAGTGCTTACAACGAGAGAAGTCTTCGTATTGATTGGAATGTTGCCTCCAAGCTTTTCGGCTCGATTCGTAAAAGAACTCATCAGCAAATCCAATCTCAGTATAACAGGTAAAAGTGCCCAACTCCGAGATGCCCTGTAACATACATACAATATCTATTATACATTGCATCGGATGTGCTTCTTCTTCTCTCTACTCCGGATGTATTCTACATTCTATAATTACTTTACCTCTTATATTCCATCCTTTACATAGAATCCCTAGGCTAGGATCCTTAGGCTGAACCTCAAACAATTATAATTTATCTTTTATAGGGCCCCGCGGGGAGGCATACGGCATTGTTATATTCTTATATATATTAACCTACTTGGTACCTAAGGTGTACTCAAAAATAGTATCTTTCGATATCGAGAAACAGGGGGAAATATCATCAATTTGATAAACACGAGCTTTGCTAATGGTATAAGATAATTAAAGTCTCCAGCTGTAATACCCTTAAGAATGACAGAATGTACTTAACTAAATCGCCTCTGCTTCTGATGCTGTCCCAACAAATATGTATATACCTTATGGGGCCAAGGAATTTTATGTATATATTCTACTCTCCATATCTTAAAAAATTAAGAATTCATTTCATAGAGGTGAGCTAGTACCCATACATACTATACATCCCGTAAATGCCAAATTTGTGAAGAAGTTAAAAACATTAATACAAGAACTTAAATTTAGAACAATCCTATTGCTGCTCTTTGTTCAATCCGATTGATTCGGACTTTTATGTACTGTCTGAAACAAAGAGATGATAACTTTATAACTGAGACAATTTGGCATACAGACAGACATGGTTTATTATACGAATCAGAAATATAGACACCATTGATTCGAAGATATAATTTTTCATACGTCTACAGGGATATTGATAGCTCACATATTCCCAGAAATAATATAAGACAGCTCTAGCATTGTATATTTTAATACAGTTGCTATTCTTTAACTTACACAATATATGGTACATAGTACAGTATGACTCTCTGATAAGGACAGCACCGATCTATCATATTTACCTAGCTTTTTGATAACAGAAATTATTTTAGTTCTATTTTTTAGAGAGTTTGCATTAATTACAGATATTTTTCCAGCTATTTTTCACATTGGATTCAGCTACTATTTTGTAGCGTCAATTGGCAGCACTGGTCTTTAGCTAACAATTTTTGTATCTGCATTAGGCGCGATTTCGTTTTGGTATATAGTGGGACCAGACCGTTCGAATAATTGGGTAATGCTGAACTGGTCACTCTTTTGAAACAGCTGATTTGAAATGGTTCGTAGCCAAACTAATGTTGTTATATTTGAAAAGCGCCGTCCTACGGATCATTATTGTATTATGATAAGGTGTGTGTCTTTACTTTGCATTATTTTTGATGTCAGTAAATTTTAAATTTCTTAAGAGTGCATATCTAAGTGCATTTTACAATTGACGAAGCTTATATAAATATGGCATACTTTTACACTTGTAGAGGATATTTTATCTTGTTACAAAAGGTAAAATTCATCGAGATGTCTCCTCTCCGATCTCATTATGTATATATTTTCTTGGTCAGAATCAAGAAACAATGGGACATTTGTTCTATATTAGAAGAAGACCTTGGCTTAAAAAAATCCCAATCGCCAGACCTGTCAAGAAATATCGAATCCATTAAACGCGGTCATTATATGGGAGATACGATAACAATAAAAATATTTTGTTTGTTTTTAAGCTTTTTACTTTCCAATCAAGTTCAATATTTTTGGTTTTTTTTTTTAACATTGATGTTCGTTTTCACATAAAATCGTATTTAATGTAAGTATGTATCCGGGCAGTCATATGGTAAAGCTGCCACGTGAAGCACATCAATACTTTCTGTAAGCTGCTGATATCGTAAGATAGTTTATATATCGTAAATGTTAAATATTTATACCGCAACTATATTTAATAATCGTCTTAAGCATCTACTACAGTTTCAAATTGGATTAGTTTTTTTTTATTAAATCATTTATTTATGTTTTCGTACATTTCGTATTTGCCAAATATTTGAATATTTTTTTGTTGAGATGGAATTTAACTGCGACCCTCAAAATATTCTAAGGAATTTACTTTTCGTTAATATATACTCATATTAGTTTTTTGGAATATATGTTATTTTTACTAAGAATGTTTTCTTTTTTTAATTCTTTTTTGTATGCTTATAATTTGATTGAAATTTAAATTCAAAAACTACTAACGATTTGAATGCTTCTTTTAATTATATTATAATATATATATTTTTCAATCATGCGTTTACCTCATTATTCAATTCTGATGCTGGCGCATCGTTGCCATCGAAATCTTTTCGCTTATGTTTAATAAAAGATATTTTCAACTATTTTTTAGTTAATGTCAAAATTGTAAGATTTCTAATCGCCGTCAATTGACAATTTGTCTAACTCAAAAGCTAAATACGCCTTAACAACTCCAATTTAACAAACAAATATACAACTTAATAACTTAGACTCGATAAACAATTCCGAATTACTTGTGTTTATAATAATATCATTATTGCAACATAATCAAATTATTGATAAAAGCATTGCTAATAATATTGTTTGCATTTGCGAGTTAAATTAAATAGGCAAAAATAAAAACAAACTTGTTTTAACTATTCTAACATTCTAATAACATTTCCAATTCCGGATCTTTCTTTCACTTTCTTTAGTTTACTTTCATTTTTAAAATGTTGCAATAGAATTGTTTAAGTTGAGTTAATTTTCGTTTTGTGTTTGTTAATTATATGCATATATGTAGTTATATTAAATTACTTGTTTTAAACTGAAAAAGCATTTTATAAGTTTTATATGCGTTAATAGATTTTTATTTATATGCTTTAATAGATCTGTGTCCTTATCGCAAGTCGGGATCCTCGTCGGCGGCCTTCTTAATTCTTAGCAATATTGTTGTGTACCACTGATCCAAGCGAGAGATGCTGTCATAGTCCTTGACTGCCTCTGTGAAGCCTTCAATGTTCTGCTCCTCAAGGTGCTCGCACAAAACCTGCAAAAGCGAGCACATATATATAGCCAAAATGTAACTCAATTGGAGAACATATTTAACGCGTACCTTGATAAGCTTGAACTCTCGTGAATCTTGGAATGCCGGATACTGTTGCGCATACTTTTCAATTGCGTGCTGCGCATTCAACAAATCAACACTCAGGTGGCAAAGAGCGGCGCGAAAGAAGTACTCCTTGGCGCTATATTTGAGCAGCGAACTCTCGAGCGACGAGGCAGCAACCTGCTCGTATATCGATATTGCTTTTTCGTAATCCTCCAGCTGGGCTGCGTATTGGGCAACCTTCAGCATGCACTTGTTGGCCGAGCTCACCGACTCCTCGCCCTTGAAATAATCTGCCGCCTGCTCGTAGTGCTGCACAGCCTTGGCCTACACAAATTGGAAATATTTATAGCAATCGGAACACGGATCGGAATCTATAGTCGCCTCTTACCAGGGTAGCCGGATCGGTTTCATACATTTCGGCAATGCTCTGATGATGCTTAGCTGCCATTGTGAAGCGTCCCATGTCGGTGTAGATGTCTATGGACTTCATCAGGCAGTTGACTGCGCTCTCCACGTCCACCTTCTTGTAGCAGTTGGAGGCGTCCACGTAACAGGTGCCTGCATCGTGGCGACTGCCGGCGCGTCCGTGCAGCGTGGCTGCCTCGCAGAAGCATTCGCCGGCCTTGGTCCAGTTCTTGGACATTTTGAACATGTTGCCAGCTCGCGAATAGCATTCGATGGCATCCTCGACCTTGTTGGAGCCTCTGTAATGATGTAATTCGGATATATAACATAATTTCACGATGCAACAAAGAATCACCGTATCTCAATTGGTAAGCAATACAATAATTACAATATTTAATTAAATCAACTTTATCAGTTGAGCCCCTTTTTATTAGCTTATCACTTTTATGTAAAATTGTTTTTGCAATATCTTTGCTTTCGTTCAGGGTCTTTTTCCAAAGGTTAGTTACCCATTAAAAATACTCACCTTTGCTACGTAAAGGAGTACGCATATGCGTAGTTATATAGGGTATTTTTTTTTCTAGTATTAATATTCAGCATTATGCATTTAAAAGGCATAATGATACATGACGTATGTACATATAAATAACGCATGCATTACAACTTTCCCCCTTAACTACGTAAATAAAATATGTATGTATGTATGTATATATATGTATATATATATATAATTATACATTCATATGTATGTGTGAGTGCTTGAAAATGCATGAACAGACTGGAATATTGACAAGAGAATCTATCAAATGACTTAAACATTCAAAACAGTTATAATGAAACTCGTTGTTAAGTTAACAATTACTCACCCAAAAAGTGAGCCGAGAAAACCTTTTTGTTGTGTCAGCTTCTTTTCCGCCTCAGCCATAAGCTGAAGGGCCTTTTGCTCATTGTCTCCCATAATTGCACTTGTGGCCTTTTTGTTCACCAAATTGCATTTAGATGACTATTCGCGGTGGCTTTTGAATATGTTTCCCACAACTTTGTCTTGGACTTTTCTGAAAATAAAATCAATACGAAAATGCAGAAGTGTGACCAAAGTTCTAACCTGAAATATAATAATTTTTCCCAATGTTACTAAATATACTGAACAATGTATTCCATTTTATTTTTCATTGATATGATAGGCAAAGGAATCTTATATAGCCAAAAATAACTATTACTCGCAACATTCGGAAATATAATTAGTTTCGACTGACAAAATGATTACTTAGTAAGCAGCAAAAACTCGTGTCAGCTGTTTAAAAATGCAGGTGAATTCGCATTTCGATAACTCGATATCCGATAAGTACTTCTATACAAACTATCGAAATGCCGATAAAAATCGTTAGGAATTCAAAACATTTTATATGATTTTGTTATTAAAATCTTTATTAGATTGTATATTTGTATCTTTAAAACATGGAAACATATATATAATTGCGTGTGAAAGTCGCTTAATTTTTGCGATTGACATGTTACAAACGGAAATAGCTAACCGAAAACAAAAAAGAATCTTTAACTTAATAAATAAACAGCGGGTAAATTTAAACAGCAACTACAATTTGGAAAATTATGGAGCAAAGAGAAGATTTTCTTAAGTTAAGCCTGCGCGCTGTATGTAGAGTTAATGAATTCGGTTTAACTAAACATAAACGTAACGATAATGAATGAAATCAGCCGGCTGTAGTATTTTCATCTTGTGCTCAAACAAACATCTTCTCGAGCATTTTTCTCAGCTTCTCATGAGCATAACGTATCTTCTGATATAGATCCTTGGAAACTCCACTTTGTGCAATAGTTGAGAATCTATATGTCCGGAAGTTTTTCTCATGGTCCATATAGGTGATGGCGCTCATGCGTGGGCATAAAATAATCTTCATATGATCCGAAAAATTAAGCTAAACAAGGCAAGAAATAAATAATCAAAAAATTGGATTAGTGTCTGCAGTTACAGAAGTCTTGAGATAAACTCGTACCTGGACAGAACCGTTGGTTAGGTGCATGACTACCGCACACGTTGTGCGGAACCAGGAATGCAGATGGGGCATACGTGAAATTTGATCGCTCTCAACGGTGACATTGTTAGCCCCTGCCTTCACTAGATGCTCCGTCATGTAACGCTTAAAATATGACAGCAGCTTCATCTTTTTATCGAGTGTCTTGCAGTAATCAGTCGTAGTCATATAGGTTTCTTTGCCCTCCTTATCAATAAAGTGCACGTTTATTTGATTCGGAAGCAGAATGAGCTTTGTGGTGTCATTGAACATAACACCGATGCCCTCATCACACAGTTGATAGCCAAATCCGTATTTGTCGCTATAGTCGACCCACTTCGATATCCAAAATAGCGGCTGGGCAGCTGGATCGGTATTCTCATCCCCCAGATTGCCTTGCAATAAACGTGGCTGTCAGGAATTGATAGAAAGTATTGTTTTTAGTTTTTGTATTAAGCATTAACTTGGGAGGGAAGTACTATACCCCTACTTACCTTGTCATTTATCAGCTTCGTCAGCTGCTGATGCAAACTCTCAATATCACTACGATAGTCTTCGTTGTGGCGACACATCTGCGCCGACGCAGTAATGGCATCATGTAAATTATTTTTCAAGAAAGTCGACTCCAAACGCGTATCGTCTCTCAGGCCGTTCATTTCAGACAGCGGCTTACGCTGGCTAGGATCCTCGATGGTATCATTGATGCCAATACGGGGTGCCATGGTTAGGCAAGAACTGGGCAAGAACATGGGCACCTGCGAAGCCTTAAGGAACTCAAAGTTCAAGAGCTGTCCAATTGTGGGGCGACTCTCCGGGTTAGGTTGCAACATCGCAATGACCATGTCCGCCGCCGGTTTTCTTAAGTAGCTCGGCACACGGTACTCGCATTTCTTGATTTTCGAGTAGGTATCCTTCAACGTTTTTGTCTCGAATGGCGGCTGACCGACCAACAGTGTGTACATGACGCAACCAATCGACCAGATGTCCACTTCAAAGGAGTGGCCCTTCTTGGTCAGAATCTCTGGTGCAATGTAGTTGGGTGTGCCGCAAAGCGTCTTCTTGCGTTCGCCCTCGTATTCAATACGAGTTGCCAGTCCAAAATCTCCGATCTTCACATGCAACATGTCATTCAGAAACAGATTGCCCAGCTTAAGATCACGATGAATGATGCGATTGTCGTGCAGATACTTGACACCCTGTATTATCTGGTATATGTAATAGCGGGTTTCGAACTCGGTAATACTTTTACGGCGTTTGTGCAACTCCATCATCGACTGCAGACCAAAAACATGTATAGATTAATAAACTTGTACTTATGCTGAGCTGAGGTGCTCCTTTATATATTTCATATATTTGAATACTAACGCGCTTTTTGCACAGCTCCAGCACAATGTAGATGTTCTGCACATCCTCAAAATAGCTGTGAAATTTGACAATGTTTGGATGGTTAAGGCTGCGGTGTATGGTTATTTCCTGTGCCGTCTTCTCTTTTTGGTTGTGCTTTATCATTAGTTTCTTAGACACAATCTTGCCGGCAAAGACATCGTCTGTTTCCACATCGATAATCTCGTAACATTTGGCAAAGCCGCCCTGGGAAAAGAATTTATTTAATTTCTTATGAATGTACATACAGATATATGTAAATAAATGTATAATATTCATACATAAATGCATGTGCATATATGCATACATACATACATTTGTGAGTAGTACGCGCCAAAAGAACCAACTGGTTGTTTTAGCGTGTTTGGCAACACTATTAGTGCGTGCGCTCCCTTACACACACACATGCACAACTACACAGTCCCACACACACACACATACACACATAACTGCATACAGCGAAAACAACAACAGGAATAAAATGTCCAAGCAAGACGACAGGGCAGCTGCATAAATCTGCGCCCAGCGTGGCAAGATCCTCAAATTCACTATACAGAACCAAGATGGTTGAGACTTACCTTGCCAAAAAAGCGCATACGCTTGTAGGTCTTGCGATTATTCGAGTCAAACAGACGATCGGGTATATCCGTGCTCTTGTCCTCAGGCTTTGCGGCCATTTTTCTCGGTTTGTCTTTCTTGGTTTGGCTCGTTGAGGTGAAGTTTTTTATTTTTGCTCGCCTTGTTGCTTTCTTTATTTTCTCACTAAGCTCATCAAATAACTGTGCACGGCACGCAAATGGAATATCAAATATATTTTAAAATATGTTAACAAATCGACACCAACAATGTTCTGAACGCACAAGACCCAGAGCGACACGAATTACAGGCACAAAGCGGAGAACGCGCCGAAACAGTTTATTTTATTTGAATGCCAGTTTGAGTAGTTCGTCAGCGTCACTACATCACAAACGATAACACATTTTAAGCAGCCCTACTTAAACAGTGCTCGAAAATAATTAAAAAACGCACATGTTGACGTTGAAAATTTGAATTTAAGTGTTCTCAACCATAAGAATTAAATAAATTCAGATTTATACAAATTTTCATTTGTGTAAGCTAAATACTCAGCAGCTTATTTGTACTTTGATAAATCAAAATGTATGATTTTTCAAATACCAATATTCTATTTATCTACAACTCCTAAGATAATACTAAATCTCGAAACAGCTGGTCTCACGCACAGGCAATGAACTGATTGATCTGGCAACACCATGCATGGGAAAAGGTTGAACCTGTTTTATTAATATATATTGAAGTTTTTCAAAATAAGCAAGCTTTATTATCTGTAGTCGTTGACAGATGAGAATATAAATAACGAATATCCAGACTAGATTACGATTGTAGTTTTGTTCTAGCTGAATACCATTGTAACCAGTTGCGTGAGACCTTTATCCTATACTAATAATAATTTTCATGTTGACGTCACACTTTTAGCGTACCCGCAATTGAAAAAAGTGTGACCTATTTCGCATGGTGAGCCCGCCTTTTTTTAAATTGCAGTCAGAGAATTCGTTTAGTTATGCGTTGCGTTGTTAAAGCTAATATAAACTATTCATTATTATCTGGCCAGGCAAGTAAATTTAAAAGATATTTGCAAGATTGTGGCCATAGCTTACTAGTTGTTAGAGACTTTGGGTACCTAGCCATAATTAACATTTGAAATGAAATGAAAATTTAATAACAATCAATATACCTAATCGCATTCTATGTTTATTCGCAGATGTTTTTTTACTTCTCATTAGTTTAATTGTTTCACTTGCTCAAAATTAAAGATTTTCGTTAAATATTCTCTTACTAATTTTGACTATGCGATTTCTACATATATTCATATTGTTTGACCTATTATATGTTTTATCTATTTGCTGCTGTTGCGGTTTGCAGATTTCTATGGCTATTTCGAGGATTTGAAAGTTCCTTTGTCTTAAAACTGTTGCCCATTTGTTGTTTCGGTAATGCCTTAAAAGTAAAACTTTATGCAGTTTGTTTTTAAATGTTGTTTACAATTAAATTATTACATTAAATATATTAATATATATATCAATAGTGTAGTTTTATAGTTGGTTTGTTTTGCCAGTTTTACGCAGTCTCAAGTGCCTTGTGTCTCTTTCGTGGTGTACGTATTTTTGTGTGTTGAGTTAGCGCGTGTAATGGGGGCTCTGTGTGAGTTCGTATGGGTGTGTCTTCCGCTGGTCTCCTCATGGACACTACTGAATTTCTAAAGTTTAACTAGAAGTATGCGATCCAGGCACTCTCAGCTGGATCCCGAACTGACAATGACTAAGCCACGTTGCAAACGCAGCCACTCCACAAACTCGTCCAGCATAACGGGCCCTGAAATGGATGTGGTTGAATCTTTTTATTTGTTTCATAATCGCAGCGGCAGCTACTTACAAGCGCCATCAATATCGTAGTTTGATAAATCAATACAGATGGTGCGCGAGAACTCGAGTATGTTGCACCATTGATCCTTATTGATAACCTTGTACTTGGACTGTTCTAGGAATTGTGCAAATTGTGGATACAATGTCCAATGCTTGCCCAGAAGCAGCTGCAGCATCGCCTTAGCCGTCACAATATCCATGCTTCGCTGATCCGAATCCTGTACAATACAAATCAACTTAGTGTGCATATATAATCATAAAAATATATATTTAGCACTTACCTTGGCAAAGTCATAGGCATATCGATATATACTCTTGAACGAGTTGGGATCGTTGAGTATGCTGCGCAGATAGTCCAATTTCACAACCATTTTCGCTGTCGAATCACATTCGAGATCTGTGAGACCCTTTAACCACTCCTGCTGACTGAAGAAACCCATCTGCGTAGCGCCCATTTTGTAGGCGAGCACAAGCATCACAATATTCTCGGGCTCAACGCCAATATCTTCACAGAATTTCTCCATGCCATCGGGCCCTATAACAATTGCAGGTGCTCCGCATTAACAGGTTGCAATTTAAGGTACTTAATAACAACACGAAAGATAATACTCACCCAGCGTTTCAGGCTCATCAGGCGTGGTGTATTCATGGAACCAGGCGAGACAGCGTTTCTGGCTAAAGCCATCTTCTGCTCTGATATGGCGTCTAAGAGAATAATTAACAAGTATGTTTCGTTAAATGTGACATATTTTTTGTCGAATTTTAATACACTATTTAACGCACTTAGCCATATAACATTTAACCACATATATTTTTGTGATTTTATTTAACTAATTAATTTTTTTTTGCTTGAGCATTCGCCCCGCTGTTGACGTATTATTCAATGTTTTTGTTTTTGAGTGTTTGCCACCTAAAAATAGCAATAGTCAACTCAACAGGGATGCCAATGCCAAGAGCCCAAGACAATTCGAAGTGAACATACGTATACGAATTGACGGCCACCTTTACAGATACAGCTGTGACACTGACAAAAACGGGGGGGGGGCAAACAGTTGCCATTAATAAATATGCATATTTCGTATAGTCTAGAATTATATATGCATTCGCTATCGGACAAGAAAGTTGAAATATTAAGCAAAATAATGTCATTGGGAATTTCTTACTCATAATCATCTTAAACACTCTCGTTTAATCTAAACTTCTGTTCATGACTGATGCAATTGAGGCCAATTGAGAAACTTTTTACACTTAGGAGAAATAGTTAGGAGCTCGCGTGGGCAACTGGGAGATACCTTCACTTATTACATATCCAGCAAGTAAGAACGTTGCAGTCGGGTGCAACCGACTGCGCTATGCCCTGTTCAGCGCCAAGTCTACCCTCTAGTTGTAGTTGTAGTTGAAGTTGTCATGCTGTGAAAGTTGCTTTACAAGCTTGTAGATGAATGTGTTATTTCAGTTTTGGGACAAGGATAATCTCAGAAATCTAATAGCGAAATTTAGTCGAGATGTCTTGAACACCAAAAAGTTGTTCATACTAAAATTTAATTTTTGACTGAGCGTTTTTAACATACATATGTACTGCTGCCTGCGTTTCAAGAAAGTTTCATTAGGAGAACTTTAATCCTGAGAATGGTATTCAAAGAAGGAGGCAGCCGGACAATCAACGAGCGAGTCGCTCTATATGCACTCCACTGTTTATACTGATGTATATAAATTCTTTATGGATATCTTCTTATACGTCAAACTTTTAATGACAAGGTTCATCCAGTCTAGTTTTGCTGTCTTTATAAAGCTTCACGACGCATAAGTGGAAGGCTCTTCTCAGCAATATCAATTTAATTAGATTTAAAATTCAGAAATGCAAGTAATCGAATAATTAAAATAAGAGACGACTAGACCAGCAGATGCTGACAGGATAAGCATCAGACATTTGGTTTTGGGCCCGGCATTCCAATAAATTGAATGAATTCTTCATGAAATAATAGTTTCTTATTCTAAATATAAATGAAAAAGTTCGAATATTCAACTGTTGTCCGAGTAATAATGCCCCTCACTGTTCAGTTGTCGTTGTCCGACATACTTAACGGACGTTTTAAACAGAGTTCAGGCGACTGCGCGCTGGAATGTCAACTGAAAGCGAGAGTTGAATGAAATTCGTGTCAAAATATGTCGAGTCGAGAGTCGAAAGTCGAGAATCGTCAGATAGGAGCCGAATGGTTTGTGACATTACAACGAGTTCAGGACGCAGTTGTGCGCAGGACTTCAAGCGAGACACACGTCGTTATTGCCCTCGAAGCAAGGATTACTACGTAAAAATTCAAATCAAGGCACTATAAGTTAATAAACAGAAGAAAAATGCTTAAGTTTCTGGGGAATAACGTACATTTGAACTATGCCAAGGGATGTGTATTCAACATTATCTGTTGCATGCTGCTGGCGCTAATTGGTAAGTTAGGAACTACCTAAAGCACCCCGTTGCCTAAGGGATGGCCCGACTGAAGCAAAGGGGTGGGGTGGCAAAAAATCAATAGCACGGAGGACATCACAATGCTGACACACTGACGCGTAAGAAGAAAAAAACCATTTAAACTGAAACGCATCTTTTTCATAGCGGACAGCGCTCAAGGACTTCAGCTGAGCGCCTTTACAACGAAAACGCCGAGAGTCTCCAAATACTCTACCAAGGCGCCATCAGTAAGTGTTGTCTCTGTCCGATCCGATCCCTTCCAGCTCACTTCTACTGTCAATTGTTGCTGTTGCAGGCATCCTCGATGAACCATGATGCGACTACTTCGATTTATCGCTTTAATGCCACAAACGGCATCACCTGCATTCTGATGCAGGTGGACGGGTTGATAAGCATCCGGTATCGGAATAAGCTGAACGAGGATGTCGAGGCCGATCTGTATATGCCGGACAGTCCGCAGCTAAGCGGTGAATGCGTCGAATCCAATTTCGAAATATTGACCATGGACTTCAAGGGATTTACGCTGTCGATGACATTCAAAAAGGTAATTGGCTGTGCGCTTCGTTTCGGTGGATGGTTGCGTCAGCTGGCAAATAAGGTCAGAGGTTAACTAAAGTTCACTTTTGTTCTGCATACATCCCACACACAGTCGTCGGGCGGTGAGGGATGGTACATCAACCTCTTTGAGCTGACATACTCATCATCGAATTCCCTATTCGAACATCCCGACCGTCCCAATTTGAATGTGAAGCTAACTTCGCCAGCGCAAACGCCCATGTATTTTCCAACGCCCGTGGGCAAGTCCTATCTCTGTGACAAGGAGCAAACGGTCATTTTGTATGCCCCCCACGACTCCGGCGACCAGTCCGGGCATATTGCACGCCTCTACTTGCGCGACCTGCACATGCAGAGCTTCATGTTCAAGGAGAGCGGCAAGTGGGGACCCTCCTTCCACTGTAGTGCCACCGGTTCCTATCGCGACGAGACGGCACCTCTGGCCGTTGGCACTGCGCTGGCCATTGCGGTGCTCTTGACCATTTCAGGCTACGGCGGTTGGCGGTAAGTAAACCCGTTCCCAACTATCGAACAAGACAATTTCAATTGGAACAAACAACAAATGCAACTGCTGCCAGATTGATTCGTTTACCGATTCAATCGGTTTGCTGATCGTTTTTTGAATAGTTAAATTTTAAATGCAATTAAAGAGTGAAGCTTTCAATTTACTAATTCTACTCTTTGCAGGTATTTCAAAGTCAAGAAGGTTCAGTATGGTTCGATGGAGTAAACAGAATATTGATGTACCGAAATTTTTGTTCGTTTTTTAATTACTTTCATATCAAATCTTTGTACCGTTATTTGTTGCATATCAGTATTGAGGTATTTAAATAATGAATATAATTACGTTTTCAAACCTAAACGAAATTGTGAGCCATGATCACAAAATTATAACTGTTACAAAGGAATGAACAAACACATATTAAAGAAATACATATACATAAATATATATGAGAATTGCAAATGTCTTCCATATAGTTAATATAATTAAAATGTTAATTATTAAACATATTATAAATACATTAATATGCATTTTTAAATATATGCGAGTATATATTTACAAAACTAACCAAAAAAAAAGAAGAAGAAACCTATCTACATTTAAAACGTTAAATTCAAAAGCATTTTGTGTATTTGCTAGAGGTAAAAAGTTGCCCGATATGTAAAATTCAATTTTGAAATATATTAAAGTGACAAGATAAATTTAAGCACTAGCCAACGAGGCCTAGTAAGAGTTCTCTAGTCGAAATAGAAAGATGTCCTGTACCCAAATGGTAAATATATATATAAAAAAATCACACATTCATTCATATATAAGCACAAGCTTCAGCTCTGCTTTTCCCTCAGCCTTGATCAATAAAATTGTTATTAAATAAACTGTGCAATTTTAACAAGAGATGAGGGTAACAACTTTATGTGTGCCAAAAATATAGATTAATCTTTAAATTCAGACTAAACGACAGCTCGAATTCCAAGTAAAAGATTGAGAACAAAGCTTTTGTAGAACCAAAGATACATTAACTCTTCTGCAGAGCCATTGAATGGGTACAGGGTATAATAATAACTAATAACTATTTTTTTCAAGTAACAAATCAAATTAATGTAATCGCATTGCATCTCTAATACACATAAGCACATATCTAAAATGATGTATTGTCACATTCGAATCGTATCGATCGTCAATTTTTATGTTCAAAAATCCTCTTCTTTAACTTATTAACTAATTCCATAATACTCCTCAAATTCATTTGAATTTATATGCACCTCTTTTAATTTAATATCAAAAAAACATTTAAGCGAACTAATAAATGAATTCTAAAAATATAATGTTTCAATTAACGGTCGAGCATCTACCAAAGAGAATGCTTTAAGACTTAGGCCTCACAAATTTGCTGTTCGTAGAAGGACTTGTTTGTCGGACTCATTATGGGAACTATATGATACTTTATCATATATATTAATATATCATATCATACTATATCATATATGATACTATATCATATCATGCTATATCATATATGATATATCTTGATAACTTTTGGGATCCGTTACCATAAAATTGTAAGAAGTAAACTTATTTGGAGTAAACGCATTTGTGTGCCAAATTTTAATACTGGTAACTTCATAACGATCGGACTATAAACTCCGAATCTATTCAAGAAAGCATTTTCAATTTAGAGAAGCTAAGGGAAGAAGCAACACAGCTACAAAAGCTCGAAGCTCGTGGCGTGCGTGCTTATAGATATGTCTGTATTGAATATAAGTTAAATTGCTTGTATCGACAGGTTAGAGTTGAGGTCAAGGTATAATAGCGCAGTCCCGATTAGGCCACTTTGACTTGTTTAAGACAAATTGACGAATTGACATAGGACCTTTAATTTTGACATGTATAATGCATTAAAGAAGGCATCTCCAACCCCCTAAATCAACGTCAGTACATCGGGTTGATTGATTAAAGCCATTAAAGCATTTAGCACATATTCTTTTTGCGCAGGCTATATATATCGAAACTGCGCGGGAATTATACTATATATCAGACATATTTGTATTGGAAACGGTCAGACAGAAGTCGAACTATTGGCTATTTTTCAAGTTTACTGAAACCTGGATTATGACTGTAGGAGACCTGATTTACTATACTTTTTGCATATTGACATCTTATTAACGTGAGATTAACAAGTATCGTAGAGGTCCTATAGGAAAAGAAGTTTTACATAGGTTTTGAAATATACCGCACATCTGCCAGTGTACTTAATATTCCTAAGATAACTGTTATTTTCTAAGTAAGCAACTAATAAATTTATATACATTCACAGGTCAGAGACGGTGTTAGAATCTACAGCTAGAAAGGAAGGCGTTTACATTCTTTTTCGAGCTAAAACTAATGAAAAGAGTATAAGGAAGAAATAAGGAGACATCTCTGGTCTCATTAAGTGTATGTTTAGGGATCAGCTTTATGCATGGGAATGTAAGTTCTCGCATATTATATCCAGATTATTCAAATATTTCGATAGCTTTCTTTGTTTACGAAAACTAGATATATATCGGTTATCAAATCCGATTTTTGCAGCAGATTCTAAAGCTGAAGATATAAGAGCGTACAGGTAAGTATATATTTAAAAAGAAAGAACGGCTATCTGCAGCACATTGAAGATTGAATATCCCTGCAGATATGACATAGAGCTCCTGAGATTATTCTTTATGCCCTGAAAACCCGTTTATTGAGGTAAGTCTTATTATGTGCATCTATTTACTGCAGTTCAGGCACCTTCTAATTAGGCATTGCGGACATGAGTTTGTTTAAATATATGTTATAGGATTTAATGTATAATTGTATGTAGGTTTAGGACTACTAGGTTCTATCTCTATCTATAAATCCTTTAAAGTGAGTTTTATCTTGACTATCCATAAACGATATAAGCTTATTAATTGAATTGTATCGATTTGTCAGTTTATGAAGTAAAAATGAATATGTTGGCTTGGAGTGGATATACATATGGATATAAATATACTGGATATATGTGCATCCTGAAAGATGGAACTGGTTTGATTTTCAATAAGCAAACATACATCACTTAAATTTTTCGACCTTTGGGTTGATTTTACACAATAACGATTTTTCCAGAAGTTTTTCTATGAGGTGATTTTGAACGCGATCAAACTCAATGTGAACATTTTTCATTCTGGTGGTGGAATTTCAGAGAAGACGATCGAAGACGATAATAAACGATCTCCGAACTTGCGAGTGAAGTTGTCAAATCCCTGTCTTAACTAGTAGTTTTATGAGGACTTACTACAGTTAAATTTCGAACACCTCCTAGCTCTTACGGCCACGACAAACCTCTTTATATCCCTATATGGCTGTGTTCCTCAATCGTGGAATCTTTAAATAGTGTATTTAGTAGTAGGTATAGCTCACCTGCTGCTTTGCTGTGTTGCAATGCTTGTGTAGCTGGTGCGTGCTCTTTTTGATTGGCCATCCATATTGTCACCGATTTCTGGAGCTCGACGTTTACCTCGTGGCATGACTTGTGTGATCTGATTGCAAAAGTTGGCCTGTCTTACCAAAGTAAAATCGGCAAAATTTGGCTTTGGCTTATATAACTATATTTATTACACGAATTTGCAGCTGTGGATCGCAGGAAAGTAAACTATAATTAATTAAATACAAATTACTGGCTATTATTTATTTGCACTCACCACTGTCCCTCAGCGCAATGCAGTCATTGAAACATCATCTCACGGCGACATTGACTTACATATGTAGCTGCAATACGTAAATGAAAGTTATAAGACAACAAATTTATGTATGTTCAAATTACGTATGTACATATATTTAATTTTGCAGAGTCGACTATATATTTGATCAATTTCCTATTTATATTTCTCAGTCAGTCGGAAAGGTGTGTCCTGGTCAAAAGGTGTTGAGCAAAAGATACAATACCCGGCAAAAGTCGCTCGCCCCTCCACTGAGATATTTCCACAGCTGAGAAACTACACGGGATGCACAGGACACCGAAGACATACACACATACACACACACATACACTTAATGCATATAAATACATGTAAGTATTTCTATATGTATTTTTCTATATGTATGTATACGTATCGGTAAATTGTGCGTTAATGCATCTATGCGCAAACTATAAGTCTGTTTATACACATCTACAAATAGACATGTATGTCTGCATGTATTTTGCACTCAAAAGAATTTCGTGCGTATACGAATTTGTAGAAAACACTTTCATGTTGAAAACACCGGCAGCAGATTGGCCAAGAACAGGGCATGGACGTGGTATCGGTATCGTGGTCGTTTCCCCATCTCAACCACAGTCAGCAGCAGCTGATATGCCAGCAGCAGACGGCAGCCTGCGCGTGCTCGTCTTTTTACGTCGCCAAATACAAGACTGTCTCGGTACGCACAATGTTAAGTACGCTTTGAATCACTTATTGTTTTAATTGGACTGCTTAGCAGTTTGTTTAATTAGAATATGCACACACATTTAATATTTACCATTTATATGTTGATACAATTTACAAGCCTACAGGACAGGTCTTGGCATCAATGATATCGATATTTTGATGCCGATGCGGCGATGTTTTCAATGTTTTTTGTATATATTACGGCATATCATCGCAGAACTTTCAACGGTAGCCCTGGCGTAAATGTTGTATGACTTTACGCTTATCGATAGTAAGACTTTGCGACCATCGATTATAGATTAATCATAAAGCAATTTAAATTGACATTGGTTTTAAGGATTTAAACAAATAGTGCAGTTTTTAACGGCTCTGACTTTTGGTATATTGAGTATAGTATATTTTATATCATAGTCGCGAATTTGGGCTTTCATACCATACAAGTTTTATCGAGGACGTTCGTAAAAAATTGAAAAATATATTGTAATGGGTTTTTTCCCAAAATGTAACGATTTCAAGCAAGTATTAGAACTGACTGACTGATTGGTCGATCTATTGATTGATTGTAAGATCTAGGAAGCCGAAGTTTTTACTGTAAACTACAGTGTAGAAACATCGCGAAAAACGGTTATACTGAACTTTTTTGTATACCATCTGATCGGTCTCATATTTAAAGACCTGTGCTCTCACTTTTCGCAAAATTCATCCCTTGATGGAAATGAGGGTCAAAGATTTGGCGGGTGAGCCGCAGCCCTGGAAATTTGACAGAAAACGCTTTTATGCTAATTTTTTGGTTTACTATCCGATCAGTTTCAAACTCTTCTTTTTTAAAATTCATTCGATACATATTTTATTTGATTATACTTCACTGAATTAAATTCAAATTATGGTTTTAATACTCATTACAGAACTTAGGCTTGTATTTTACAGCAAAGATCGATTACAGCTTACGTTACATCCGATTACAGCCGCGTAAACTTTAACAGAGTTGGTTAAGTTAAAGGGAAAAGCAATGCATTTATTTTTACCGTTGAAGTTGCGACTAACAAGACGAACGTTTGTGCAGACATTGACTTTACGTGCATTTAAACGGAGGGGTAAATATTTTTAGATTAATCCCCATTTAAATACATAGACAACTTATCTGGTAATGTGAAATATATTTACAATTGCATTTTCTATAGACTAATTTTGAACAAAAGGCACAATTTCATATTGTATTGCACAAAAGGCACAAATGGTGATGCACAAAGAGTGCGCCAAAATTAACCGTTAAGAAATTGCTCAAGGGCATCCTTAGACTCCACATCGCTTTGCTCCAGAACGACTTCTTCTAAAGTCAATTTGTTTGCTTTTGTTTGTATTTCTGCAAACGAAAAATAGATGAATGTAAATGCTTCCTACTTTTGAACGTAGTGAGAAACATACTGGGCAGTTGTCCGCGCTGCTTATACTCTTCCAGATCCCCTCGGAATGCATCATCGAATACCGCCTGGCGCTCCTTTTGCAGCTGTCTCAGCTGTTGTTCGTGTGTGTGCATCTTTTGATGATGCTGTGCTGCAATCTTTTGCCTATATTGCTCCAGTTCATCTAGCTTCTTTTGCTTATGCTTGGACAGCTGAAACTGCTGCTCCAGTACGAACTCCTGAAGTTCGCATTCCTCGCACAAGTTCTCCAGCTTTTCCAACTCGACTTCCAGCTGCCGGCCTAACTCCTCCAAAGATCCAAGCGTCTCAGCACTGTGTTGAAGCTTGGAAACTAATGCGGGCAAGCCCGCCAGACAACTGTTGAGCCCATTAATTGTAGTACGCTGTTCGCTGGCACGCTGCAGCACGCCCGTAATTTGTGTGGCCACACTTGCCGCGTGTCCAGCGTTCGCCTCGTTAGCGGCATGAATTTGCTGCCAGTCATCCTCGTATTTGGCCAACAGATTGCAGCCCGCAGCCACGTTCAGCTGTGTGGGCACGCCATCAGCCAATTGGCCGCTGAGCGAATGCGCGCTGCTGCGGCTGGAAAAAAAGCTTTCGTTCAAGTCCAGCGGCGACGAGGGCGTTGTGGCGGCACTCGTCTGACTGCTGCCACTGTTGCTGACACGTTGGCGATACTGTTCCTGTATACTCTCCGATATAACAATGCCCTCCTGGATTGCATTGCTTAGCTTCTTTCTTAGGCTGCCAAGCATTATATAAACTCCGATTTGTTTCTTTAAATGCAATCAAACTGCTAATTGAACGCTGTTCGTGTGAAAATGCGCTGTCTAATTGTAAATAGAAAATCAGCTGGTCGCAAAGTGACAAGAGATAGTGTCATTTGACAGATCGCTCATGAGAACGAAAAAGAGAGAGTGAGAGAGAGAGAGAGTCAAAGAGAGAAACCTGTTGTCATTTATACTCTTTCCGGAAAGATACCTCAACTTTCCTACAAAGTATGTAAATATATATTTTTACTTTTCAATTTTTAGTGTCACAATAAATCTCCCAATATAATGAAAAAATTTGTGTGTTAGTTATTAAAAAGACAGAAAACTTGTCTTCTTATAGAAATAACCCAATTTTCTGCTGATCCATCCAAGGTCAGCTATATGATTTGTTATTTCGATGCTAAACAGTGTATTTCATATATACAGATATAATTTTCAAATAAGTGCTTGCGAGAACTTATTGTTTTCCCTAATTGTACCAAACTTCAAAATACCCTTTGCTCTGATATATAATATGAGTCATAACATTTATTTTTTTACTTTCATATATCATGTTTCTTTGATTATCAACTTATTAAATGTCACAAAGTATAACATACAATATGCAACATATGTCAACTATAACAATTCGGCAATTTATTTTAAATATTTATAAAATATTATGCGCCTGCTTTAACAATTTTCTTTCCGATTGGCGTTTCTTTGCCAAATACACCGCCCTTCTGATGAGGTCCTCGGCATTGTCTTCTTCAGTTGAGCCTGTAACATAAATATTTAGGGTAATTATGGAGAAATATATTATGATTAAATTATATTGCATATTTACTTAAGAGCGCATTATAAAAATGTGTGTAGTTCTTAAGGCATTTTTTGCCTTGGACCCCATCCACGTTGTACCCGTTGGCCAGCTCATCCGATATTATATCTTTAAACTGCTTGAGAATGCCATTTGGGTAGATTAATTCTTTCAACGCTTTTATCTGTAAAATTTGTACAGATTTAAATTATTGCAATATATATATATTCATATATTTTTTTGGGACAATTTGAAAATTATGACAATAGGTGTTTAGTTGGGATCGTGTAATTTACGTAAACTAGTTGGCTTCCATTTTGAATTGCCATATCGGCTACGGCCAGGTCCTCGTCCGATTTAAGGGGAAAGGTCAGCTCAAGCGTCGCCTCGTCTGCGTGGCACTTCATCTCCTTTTGCTCACAGAGCGTGTTCATGATTGAGTCCATTTTTTCTAGTAAGTGTGGATACATTTATAGTATATTCAAAGCTCGATCGTCAGGTAGATATATTGCCCAGGTATTGAGGTAATCAACAAGGATCTAAGCTCAAATTGATAAATAAAAAAATCATTTATGAAATGTTTATTTATAATTCTCTAAACGAGAGTTTATATCTGAGCTTACCCTTAATATCGTCAATTTGCTCGCGCCCATCGCACATTTTTTTTATCTGGTGAATTAAAAATATTTACGAACCTTCATAATGATTTTCAGGCCCCGAGAGTCTTGGGATTTTTCTTGAAGAACTCATTGTTAAATATATTTAATATATTTATGTTGTTCCAAATAAGATATTGAGTCGATCCGCTTGATTCCGACATATGTACTGTAAAAAAAACCAAAATAAGTGCCAATTTTATCCAGATAGACAAATGACATACGAGGCTAAACATCAACTCAGCTTGTTGCCCTAAACAAGAAACTACATACATACATATATGTAGATACATGTAGATGCTTTATGTCCATGTAGATACTTTATGAAGTCTGCGACACAATTATAATAAACTCTACAAGGGTATAAATATTCAAAATTTATTGAAAATTCAAAATAACTCGCATGTACATACGCATACATAATAGTTAATTATAGTATACATATATACATAAATATTTTTATATGTACGGAAGTAGTACGTATAGATGTTTAATGCAAATCTTCATACATGCGTGTAAGTGTGTAAGTAACATATACATACAAACATATATATATATATGTATGTATATTACTTTATAAATTTGATTTAATAGCGGGCAATTCCATAACTTGTGTCCTTTAACCTCTCTGTTATGCTTCTTCCAATGCACAAATACATGCATATATACACACACATGTATATGGCTGCAGGTATGCGAATTTGCATTAAAAGCGAGTCGAAATTTTGTTTGCAGCGGGCAGCAATCAAATGACCACGCAAAGAGAGGATTATTTGTTGCCGTTAGTATTGCCGTTATATGCAAGGCAATTTGCCAAAAAAAAAACAACTCGAACGAGAGCTGTGTTGGTGTACGACGGGCACGATTCGTCACTGTCGATTGTCCCAGTTCGATATGCATGCACACTTGTTTCTTTATATTGAAGATATGCTCTCACGTTATTAACTGTTTTTATTAACATAAACTGTAAACATAACATTTATCTAACATACTTGTAAAAATCATTGTCCCTGTTTTAGTTTGCTCTAACTAATTATGCTAATCGTCAGTCAAATCCACCGTGGTTGCAATATCTGCGGCAGACAACGCCTCCTCCGGTTCTGCCTGTTGCGTGGACTCCACTGGTAATTGATTCTGTTCTTCTTTTGGCTCTATATCACACTCAATTATTTCTATATCACTGCCACTATTAGACGCCAATTCATCACTTCCGCTGTCTACCAGAGCTATGGAGCTGCAGTTGCTAGCGTCACTCTCACTGTCAGTTACCGAGCTGCCAACAGATTGCTCATCCTGCGAACTCACATCAATTGTGACAATTTCGGGAACTTCTTCACTTGATGATGCAATGGATAGCGTATCCAATTGGATGTCCTGTTCCATCGTTTCCTCATCCGACATCAGCTCCCTGATTATATCACTTGACTGCGAAGCGGGTGAGTGTGGTTTATTAGCTAGCGTTTGATGCGCGAACAACGTTTGACTATAGGCCATAGCTACTGCTAGCGCCAAATTGTTTGAATGTACGTAGTACTCGGATCTCGGTACTGTTAAGTCGTCAGCTGTTTTCGCTGGCGGCGATACTCCACTGCTGCTGGTGCTCCTCCTTCTTCGTTGTCTACGCTTAAATTTACTGTGCTTTTTCTTGTGTTTCTTTTTGTGACTTCGGCTGCGACTTCGGGATTCGCGAGATGAACTTCTGCTTTTGTGTCGCTTTCTCACTTTCTTCCTGGATCGACTTTTACGCTCCCTTCTACCGTATGATTCCTCTTTCGGCTTCTTACGGTTGTAGAAGGCATTTGTTTTGCGCCTCTCGTACCTGTCGTCCAATTCCTGAAGCTTTTGCTGGCATCTCGCCTGCGTGCGTTCAATTGCCCGCTTGTTGTGTCGCAGTGCAGTGTTTATTGTTCGTCCCAAAAACTTTTTGTTTGGTTTGCCCAGTGGATTAATTTTGCGCTCTTGTGGCTCGTAGGATGCCTTGCCGTTATTGCTTGGCAATTCGCGCATAAGCTCTGCGATTGCCTGGCTGTTACAAATTTTAAAGAAATATTTTAAATTATTAGCAATAAACCGTTATTATTGCTATTACCTGGTAAGCGCTGGGTCGTCCATATTCGACTGTTTTATTTTTCTTCTACTCTCTTCTCTTTTTGCTTAAACGTTTCTCATTGAAGTGAGCACAGCTGTTATAACCAACACTACGCTATGGGCACCCATAACTTTAACATTTGCTGAAATTTTATTAACATCGTGCACAAATAACTGCCGATAGACTTTACAGCTTTGAAAATAGCTGGCAACTAATTTGAGTCGTGTATTTTAATGGAAAGTTATAACAGTGGCCATCTAGTTCAACCGGTCTTCAATACGTGATGACTAAGCTCTAAAAGAGCTATTAGAAAGATGCTTCTATTTACTTCATCAGTGCTTAGATGTCTGTATTTTTACGGCGCAGCTGATAATCATTGACCTTGCCATTGCGAGGGTTGCTATTTCTAACGATCTGGCAGCTCCGGTCAGCATGATATAGAAAGTGCTGCCAATAAACTTTTTCACTGTACAGATGGCGCCCTTTCTTTTCGAATCTACTGAAAATAATTCCTGTACGAAATTGGTTATTATTAACTTTGAGACATTATAATTATGATTACGCAAAATAACTTTTAGACTCAGTCGGATTACGGGTAGATTTATAACATTTAATTGCCTTATGTAAATACATATTAATGTAATATCACAGTTTTATCACATTTGGTTGACAATGTCTAACGGCTATTGCCTGTTACCAATTACGTTTTGCATCCATGCCACATATTTGCTGACACGTGTATAAATGCCTGGTAAGCCGGGACGTGCACAGCCAATGCCAGTGGACACAACGCCCAGTAAATAATGTTCCTTCGACATCAAAGGGCCACCGGAATCAGCCTGAGGAAATCAAATAAGAAGTGCGCAACATAACATTTGTGCTCTGCTAGCAAGTTGCATACTCACCCAACACGAATCGATTTGTCCATTCTCGTATCCCGCGCACATCTGGGTGTCGGTTATACTGTTGGACTTTCCCAGCGCACGATAAGAGTGCTCGCAGGCCTCATTGTTCCATATTTTAACGGTAGCCTTGCGCAAAACATCGGCACGTTCGCCTTCCTCTTGATTCTCATTTGTCCAGCCCCAGCCGGAGACTGTGGCGTATTCTGGCACCAAGCTTTGCGGTTCCTCCCGCGAACTAAGACAGCTCGGCTGAATATAGGCCGTAAAGCCCATGGGCTGCACCACTTCCAGCAGAGCTAAATGGATAAACATGTGTCCATAGACAGAAGTTGGCTTTAATTATTCTGATATAATGTATACTTACCAATATCATGCTGCACATTATTGCAGTCATATTGCGGATGCGGAACAATACTCCGAAAATCCACTCGCAAGGCATCCGGCCCATTGCCAACGCCATTCAGATACTCGCGTATGCTATGCAGCCCCACCACGCCTTGAATTTGGGCGGGCTTCATAAACTTTTGCAGGCCATTGCAGATGCAGTGACCGGCGGTGAGTATCCAGCGCTCATGTATAATGGTGCCGCCACAAAAGTGGCCACCACGACGCATCAGACTAACCATGAATGGCATTTCATGGCGTTCCGCCACGCTGCCGCCAACGATCTTGGGATTCCGCACAGAGCAGGGCACACTAGTAACTATTAATTGGAATACAATTTACCGAATATTATTTTCAATATTCTTTGTATTCCTAACTTTATTATAGGTTATGTCTGTATTAACCCTATTATACTCGTTACCAACACTGGCTACAATAGCCTTCGGCTAAGAAATTTCAAAAGCCAACTAACTATTTTGTATATCGAGTACAAAAGGAAGTACTTACAAGCAATTTGCGCCTGCGCAGTTCTGAGAACATGTAAAACTACAAAAATGTGCACCAGTTTCCACATATTGTTGTTCCTTTCAAAACTGACCGTTAAGCATTTGCTGGTGCAAAACTATTCAACGAACTGTCACAAATATTCTGTGCGCAATTAAATTTATATATGGGTCTGGCTCGCTGCTGTTCTATGCGGATTAGCGCACACTCAGCGAGCTTTCTGATAACGGACGGAAGTCTCAACACCTGTTGCCGCCAAGCTTTAAGCTTGCTGACGTCGACGTCGACCGCGGCAGTGACAGCGACAGCGACTGCACCTCCGTGTCGCCCATGTGCACCACGTTTTGGCACTTCATTTGCTTTGTCTGCCTCTCTGCCCGCCCGCCTGCCCCCTTTCTTCACCACCTGTTCACAATATACTACGAACGTGAAATGTAAACAAAAGCCAGCCAAAAAATGTTTAAGTGTGTGTGTTGCGTTTTTTATGACCCAGTGAAGTTCATGACATTGAATGGCTGACAAATAGTTGTGCTAATATGAGTATTTGTATATCTTTTCAACCGTACACGCATGTAGATGCATCAAGTTTATTGCCCCATTATCCTTATTTGGCAATTATATTTTCTGTACACGATTAATAACACGTTCTTATATAAAGCTTTTGATATTCTGCGCCAATCAAATGGGAAAAGGTTATGTAACAGGCAGCAGCAGGCGCCTCCCACTCCATAAAGTAGAAATATGAACTTATGTTTATACTCTTGACCTTATCTGTCTGTCTGTCTGTCCTTCTATTTGTACGCGTCCATCTCAGAGACCTTACAAGCAGGAGTCCTTTAATTTGGATAGTAGGTTTTGCAGATCTTATTTATTTCGATATACACGTTTCCGCAATCGATTATAATCGATCCATTATAATCAATCGATAATCAATCGATTATAAACTACCTGCCTTTTGAACATGTTTCGTATATTTAGGAAGCTATCTCTCAACACAAGTTTTGGTAATAAGATTCTTATAGAGTGTGAACAGGTCCTATACATAAAATGTACAAAAATGTTCAAGTAATGTTTTTTCTTTTAGAAAAAAAGCTTTGTAATTGGTTAATGGACACATTTGGCTGTTCTGAATATTTTATAATGATTTTCGTTTGCATATTAATTGTGAAGGACTGAGGGCAGAAGAACCACAAATGTTCCATGCTTTTGATGCTGGGTATGTGTAACTCCTACGGAGTTTGTTTCATTCTGATACTCTCGACTAGATTACTAATCCTTGTTTATACCTCGTATCCAATGGAAAAAAATTCGAATTTGGGTCCCGCACTTCTAGCACGTCTAAGCTAAATTTATAGATTCTACATTATGAAAACTAGAATTAACAAAATTTCTATAGAAATAAAACACAGTAACACACAGGATTTGTATTGTCTTTGGCAATATCAACTCTTTCCACAAATTATAGAGCTAAAGACACTTCTCAAGATGGAACTTAAATTACTTTATACCCACTTCCGCCTTAGTTTGAATGAGGAACTTCTGTCTTGACTTTTCATTGCACTGGAAACAGAGTATTTCTCTAAAACTTATCATAATGAAAAATGTATAAAATAATTGTAACTTGGCCCAATTATCGTTATTATGTAAATTGTGCATGCAGCTTTGCATGATAATGGGCCAAATTGCGTAGATAATTGAATTTCAATGCTGATACCAACCAACACAATCAATGTAATGCTGGAAATGTCAAATATGACATTAACATTGCCCTTAAAATAAAATTAAACTAAAAAAAAAAGCGACGCTTACAATGTCGTCCAGCCCCTCAATGACATAGGCAGTGAAAAAAATGCAGGTGTAGCGCATTGGGCATAATTTGATAAGTCATTGTAAGAACTAACCATATATTGTGGTTTATTTATGCAAACAGGAATT